AAAAAAAAAAAAAAAAAAAAAAAAAAAAAAAAAAAAAAAAAAAAAAAGAAAATAGGTGTAAGAGGGCTGGTCCGTGGCTCACTCGGGAGAGTGTGGTGCTGATAACACCAAGTCAAGGGTTAAGATCCCCTTACTGGTCATCTTTTTTTTAAAAAAAGAAAATAGGTAGAAGAAACTGGGGTTTTCCTTTTGAGAGAGAAAGAGAGATCTATAAAGAGACTTTAACTTACAAATATACAAAGGGATATTAAATATATACTCTGAGTAGGATAAAACAAATTATACAGATTTTGGCATTTGAGACTTGAGTTGAAATTCTTTTTTATGGAATCTTTGTTTAAATAAGCAACATCAGGGCCGGCCAGTGGCTCACTTGGGAGAGTGTGGTGCTGATAACACCAAGGCCATGTGTTCTGATCCCTATATAGGGATGGCCGGTTCGCTCACTGGCTGAGCGTGGTGCTGACAACATCAAGTCAAGGGTTAAGATCCCCTTACCAGTCATCTTTTGAAAAAAAACAAACAAATAAATAAATAAATAATAAACAAAAATAAATAAGCAACATCAATATTAATAAGGAATATATTGGAAATAGTCCTGTCTAGAAGCAAAGGTAGACCTGTTGACCATTCATGGTTATTCCCAGGCCAAAGAGGTCTATAAAGCAATGGAAGGAATAGAAATAGAATAAAAACCAGAATACAGAACAAATAAAATGTACTTTATATATCTAGTATCATTTGAGTTCCAGAAATAGTGTTAGTGTGGTTATAACCACCTTAAAGAATAAGAAAAGGGGGAGATATGCCTGAAGGTGTTTTACTTAGTGGTTGGATAGGCAGATCCATTCTCTAGAGTTGGTAATTTTCACTTGGTCAAAGAATATGGTTGTAATCGGGCCAGGAGATTGCATCCCATATTTGTAACTGATTAAATAAGTTACTTATAAATCATTTTGGCTCTATATCTATTAAAGATGATCACTTCCTTAGGAATAAAAGATTAAAAAGATTATAGCTGCTGCTGATTGACTTACGGGATATGGATGGGTAGAAGAACAAAGTGAATACCAGCACAGGCCTTACCCAAAGTCATGTGGGATCCTGGTGTAGAATTCATTGCATGCTTCTGTGAGAGCTCGTCCATGCTGGCCAGCTCGAATGCAATCCTCAATCTTCTTAAGAGACTGGTAACCTGCCTTGATCTGAGCCACTGTCAGCTTCCCTGCAGGCCCAGCCAGAGATGAGACTCCAAATTAGGGTCCCATCCTGTAAACTGTAGTTATGTCCCTGCCCAATGAAGACTCTCACTTTTCAACTTTCCAAATAATTCCTCATTCCTCCTTCCTCCACACAATGTCTCATCCCAAATCCCGTTTTCTTTGTTTAGTACTATTAGCACTTTTAAATCGCAATGGTGATGAAATATCACATTAAAGAAAGTAGGAAATATGAAGAGAGAATGCAGGAAAGAATCTAAAGTCCTACCAAGTGGGACTTTTTTGGTATCATACTTCATTTCTATCATCATCTCTTCCATGGCCTGCACATTACAGATCAATTTTATCAGCTCCTGTACCCGAAGATCTAGCTGTGACTCTAGTCTCAAGGGAGATTTATTAAGAGATTCCTCCTTTTTTGTTTCCTCTTCACTCTACAGCAAAACAAACAAACAAAAACCTATAAAATCCGAAAGGATCTATTTTAAGGCTCTGCAAGGAGTGGTTCTTGCATTATCTGGCAAGGTGATCATCAATCAGCCTCTACTTGAACTTGAACATAGGCACATTCCGTTATAAATCGAATTAGAGTACTCAATGTGACATCCACCTTTTAGTACTACTTCTGCCTCCCACAGTTGAACACTCAGAATAAGTCTAAAAAGCCCTCCTAATGATGTCATTAAGTATGTAAGGACAGCGATTATGCCTCAAATCTTCTCATCTTAAAAAGACTTGGGATTTCTCTATTTTTCAGATATGTGACAGTTTTCAGCATCCTGGTGCACCTCACTTCGTCAAAATTAGTTTTTTTTTTTTTTTACTGTGGTATATAACCAGAAGTGAAGACCACTTTACAGGTAGTTTTACCATTAGATTATTTATTATTTCTCTCTTGGTCCATAACATTAAACTTCTGGAAACAGGGCCTAAGATTTTATAAGAACCTTGGTAAATAGCAGCGACTAGAAAGGCACATTCTATACTCATGCTTACAGCCTCTTCCAGATCCCAAACATCAGGAGGTGGGAAACGGCCACAGCTCAAGACACCTTGGCCTGTTCTGGTCTCGGACTGATCTAAGCCATCCTGCTACACTTTACTCTGATTAAGAGGAAACAGCTTTCCCTGCAAAGGTAGAGTTAGAGTTTACCTGAGTATTGATGGTATAGTCCATCTGTAGCATATCATATTTTCCAGGCACCTTTTCAAACTTCTCACGATCCTCCCAATTGTTTTTTGTTTTGTCAAGGAATCTGTAGAGCCCAAAGAAAACCTTACCAATAAAGGTCTACTACTAGAGACGAACTTACATCTGTTTTCTTAGACAGAAAAACTCTAAAAAATTTATTTCCCAGTACAGAGCTCCTTTACACATCAACTTTCCATAAATCAGGATTCTAAATTATGACACTGAATGGACAGAAAAGCTCTGGAGACAAAGGGAATAAAAAAATGGGGAAAAAGGACTCTTAGGCTCCCCAAAGGCCCCCAAACACCACGAAAGCCACTGAGATTTAAAACAAAAGATATCTAATCTCTTTCCCTGAAATAAACATGTTCCCAGAGACTCCAGAAAGTTTTTCATCCATATCACAATAAACATTTTTAAAACTCTAGCTGTATATTCTCCATTTTTCCAAAATTTCCTAAACTTGTTGGTCGTGTATTAAATATATTAGGTCTTAGGGCCAGCCTGTGGCTCAGTCAGGAGAGTGCAGTGCTGATAACACCAAGGCCATGGGTTCGGATCCCTATATAAGGATGACCAGTTCGCTCACTGGCTGAGCATGGTCCTGACACCACCCAAGCCAAGGGTTAAGATCCCCTTACTGGTCATCTTTTAAAAAAATAAAATAAATAAAACAAAACAAAACAAACAAACAAACAAACTAGGTCTTTCTGCTTTTAGTTAATTTCAAGGTTCTAGTTTGATTTAATCACTAAGGACGCAGTTTGGTGTTCCAATCACGTAATATCAGCATGGAAAGATGTTAATATTTAGGCCAAATCATACTTATTACAAAATTCTTAAAGAAGATACATTCAAGAAGAAGAAGGGTATTTTTCGTACTCATTTCTTAGCACTCACTTCTTCTGAAAGATTTCCTTGGCCTTGTTGAGATTGTCTGAACAAGCCACCAAGCTGTGCTGTCCCATTTTCCCAACTGCAAAACAAATGCCATACATAAGATGGTTCCCTGTCCTCAATCCAAGAACAGTTCCCTAATAGTTACAAGCCAGCTGTCTAAAGCCTCTCTGCTTAACATCTGACAAACGGGCAGGAAAGGAATAAAGGAAAGGTAAAAGGGCAAGTTACCTGCTAACTGCCAGTCTACGAGCAATACCAGCGGTCTAATTGCAGGAGAGCTCTCAACTACAATGGGATGCTCTTAGTTTTTCCAATGGAAATTTCCTAAGGAGGATGCGTGCCATTCCCCAATTTGAAGAAGCTCAACTTGATTTGTAATCCCCTCCCAGACTTCAAAGCCTCCACTTACCCAATTTAAAACCACAGGATCCTGGGCCAGCCCACGGCTCACTTGGGAGAGTGTGGTGCTGATAACACCAAGGCCACAGGTTTGGATCCCTATATAGGGATGGCCGGTTAACTCACTTGGGAGAGCGTGGTACTGACAACACCAAGTCAAGGGTTAAGATCCCCTTACCATTCAACTTTTAAATAAATAAATAAATAAATAAAATAAAACCACAGGATCCTTTGGCCACTCACTAAGCTGCTTCTGGCTTTTTTTGGTTCTTTGTTTCTGGCTTTCTGAATGACAACTCAAAAAATCCATAATAAAAGTAATTACCTCGTCCCCATCTCATCCAAACACTGAAGTTCCTCTGGGCATCATCTTCTAACAGCTGAATCAGATAGTACTTGTTGTTGTTGAATTGGAGATTGGTCTATCATGTGAGAGAAATAAGAACGTAAAAGGAAACAGTTTGGCAAATGAAAATCATATAAACTTATGACTCTTCCTTGGTCACAGATGCCAGTAATCTCCATAAGGAAAAGGATAGCTTGGGGCAAGGAAAGTAGATCCTTGTAAGAGTAAGGATATTAAAAAGGAATAGGGCTTACATATTAAACTCTGGATTCTTAAGAATTAAACCAGGAGCCTGGAGCTTCCTAAAACTTTCTACCTAACCTCGAAGAGACTATATTGATTAGCTACTCCTGTTTTTTTCCTACCTCAGTTCCCTCCATAGATATTTTCAAGGCCATCTGTGTTTTCTGGTTCCCAGTACATTCTCAATAATTATTTCCCAAATGAAAACAATTTAAATGCTCAAAAGGTCTATAACTATTATGCTTGTTTGTTTAGATGACAAACTCTTTGATAGTTCTCACAGCTTTGGTTTGTCAGCTGCACAAATTTGACAGAGCAGAGAGCAAGTCAATGTTGGGAGGGGACAAAGGATATGCAGAAACCATTGCCATATCTGTCACACAGATAACCTGACCTGACTTGGAGACACTCAGAGAGAATATGACTAGTATCTAAAAACAGGTATCCATTGGGCCAAGCCCATGGCGCACTCGGGAGAGTGCAGCGCTGGGAGTGCAGCAACGCTCCCGCCCCGGGCTCGGATCCTATATAGGAATGGCCGGTGCACTCATTGGCTGAGCACGGTGTGGCGACACCACACCAAGGGTTGCGATCCCCTTATTGGTCACGAAAAAGACAAAAAATAAATAAAAATAAAAAATAAAAAACAGGTATCCGTAAGTAACTCACAGTGCAGAGAGAGTAGTCCAAGATAAAGCACAGGAACTCATGCTGTAAGACTGAGCCCTGGTTATCCAGGCACTTTTCTTTCTTAAGCATTTTGCCTGTTCCTACCTCTACCTTCTGCCTGCTCACATTATAAAGTCACTGGATGTTAGACAAAAAGGGGCCTTAGGATATTTTCTATCTGCTCATGATATTTTAGGTGGAAGAAGTAGTTACAAAATAATATTAGCTGTTAAAATTATATACATTGGATCAATATATTCAAATATGAAGTGATATCCAGGAAATACATTACCAGGCAAGTGTGTCACCTATTCAAAAACATCCAAGGTCTAGTGTTTGATTTTTGTACTGGCCAGCCACAAAAACAAAACAAAACAAAACAAAACAAAATGACAAATCGGGCTGGCCTGTGGCTCACTCGGGAGAGTGCGGTGCTGATAGCACCAGGGCCACGGGTTCGGATCCCATATAGGGATGGCCGGTTAGCTCACTGGGTGAGCGTGGTGCTGACAACACCAAGTCAAGGGTTAAGATCCCCTTACCGGTCATCTTTAAAAAAAAAACCAAAAAACAAAACGACAAAAATTTCCATAGTAAAGAAAAAAATTTTAATTAAAAAGAAAATTGATTTAACCACATAAAAATTTTAAATTTCAATATGGACAAAAAGTATATTGTAAGGGAAATCAAAAGCCAAATGACAAATTTGAAAACCATATAAACAATGTATATTACAGAGAAAGGGCTATTCTCCCTATTATATAAAGTTTCTCCAAGTCAGTAAGAAAATGATCAACAACCTATTAGAAAATACATAAAAGGATATGAATAGAGAGTTTACAGTTCAATAAATGATGCAAAATTTGTAAAAAGATCTGGTTCTCATAGAAGAGTTCACTATCAGGTAGGGCTCAGTACTCAGGAGTATTAACCACTAGTGGCTAATATAAGGGACTTTAGAATTAAAGATCTGGGAACTGGGATGCTATCATCAATTATCAAGAACAAAAATTCTATTAAAAGAATGGTTCCTCTTCTTACCTGATTTAGCATGACATCATAGACCTCATTCCCTTCACAATACACATGAGCCTAGAGAGAAGAAAAAAAAAATTACTATAGTCTTACCTCCAAGATCTTAAGTGAAGCTCTGAATTATTTTATGCCTCAAGATGTCATTCTCCAGTACCACCAACATCCATTTTCCAGGGAAAGAAATGCAAACATATGTTCTGCACACAGCCTGTCATTACTATAATGAATACATACTGCCTTTTCTAATTACAGAAACACAAAAGATTCTAACTCAGTTAAAGGAAACCTGCTCTAGAGGCAGCCTTTCTTCTGTATTCTTCAAATTCTTTTTCCATTCATCAGTAACTAGTGCCATTCCAGGGTATAGTTTCTCATTTGAACAAGAAGACAGTTCTCTCTTAATAACGATATCTGGTTGAAAAAGAGAATGAGGTGTGGACGGCTGATGGCAACCCCAGAAAGTAACCACGATAAAAACACGCTGATCATTAACCCTAAACCCTACCACTCCCACTCCTTGGCCTTGGAGAAAATTAATCACTAGCAATATTTTCAAAAGGATTCCTAAAATGAATACTTGCAATGTCCTAGAGAAAAGTCCTAATAACAAAAGAACACTACTCTTTGAGAAATTAATGGACTGAGGGTAGGTTCCAGAGTCTCTCACCTTCCCCACCTTGGCTGTACACTCTGGGTCCACGGGAGCTTTGCCCTTTAACAGCAAGGCCTTCACAGATTCTGAGGAAAGACAGATATGTACTAGAGTTACTTGTATGGGAATCAAAAGTAGCCATATCATAGTTAGACAGAAACCTGCCATAATTAATTTTGCCCTCCCCCAAGTAATCCTGGTATTCTGCCTAGGTCTCAACAATGTGCCTCACATACATGAAAATGAAGATTCAAGAACGTAGATTAGTCCCATGGTATGCCCAAAGGATAGGGAAATTAATTATGTCCTCAAGGAGGGAAGAAATAAGAGTTGAAAGAACAAACATCACGCCCATCCCTCCCAGAGACCCTTTTGGTGGCCCATATCCTCCCTGGTCTACTACCTTTCTCGTCTTCTTTCCTGTCCTTACCAGCCTTTCCTCCAGCCACAGGCTCTTTTTTCTTCTGTCTCTGGCATCTGGGAGTTTTCTTGGCAGGTGGAGAGTCTTCTGGAACTGTGTTGCCATTATTAACTCTCTTGGTTTCATTTAACGTTACAGAAGCTAAGCACAAGAACAATGAGCAGACAAAGAATGAATGAGTGCGCACTGAATGTGATCCCATGTTGAAAAAAAAATCTTTATCTTTAAAATATCTTAATGGTTTAAGAAGGATTTGTAAATTTACAAAGAATCAATGAACACTGCCACACCACTATTCTGGGTAACAGTTGTAGTGATCTTTCCTAAATCGCTATTCTAGCCAAATAAAATAAAAGGGAGCCCCAGGGCTCTTGTAAGTTTACAGCCTGCTTACCTCTTCTGTTTACTTGTGCCCCAATGTCCCCCCAAATACCTGCCCTCCAACCACCCGAGGCCTTATGACATAATAGTAGACTGTTCCAGGATCTGTGCCTGGCTTAGAGCCCAGCTCTGCTTCTTCTGGCTATGGAACCTTGGAGAAGTTAATTTCATCTCTTTGTACCTCACTCAGTTGCTCCAACTGTAAAATCCAGAGGGTGACAACAATAGTACCTAATTTATAAGGTGTACCTACGCATTTAAGAACATAATACACAGAGTACTATATCCATCTCAACAATTCTAAGACTCCCATTTCTACTCTCTCTGAAATTGGGATGCATCTTACATTGGATGACATACAAATAGTTAATCATAGTTTAATTGGAAGCATTTATCCTTTCTTAGTGGTATATAAAATAATGATGCATCTCGCAATTAATTTTTTTTAATTGGATGACATTAGGTATTAGCAATAGTACTGGCACTTGTTACAGGTCCACGAGCTTTTATCTACAACTCTATAATCCAAAAAGCTCCGAACACCGAAATTTAAAAAGTATAGCACCAGAACTGGTTTGCTCGCCAAGTGCAGGTCCTGGAGAGCTGGAAGGGGTAGGGCCAGGGCAGGGGGCATCATTCCTTTCCTGACTCTCCGCCCCCAGCATTCCGCCCCCTAACAAGACTCTCCGAACCTCGCTCGCCAAGTGCAGGTCCTGGAGAGCTGGAAGGGGTAGGGCCAGGGCAGGGGGTATCATTCCTTTCCTGACTCTCCGCCCCCAGCATTCCGCCCCCTAACAAGACTCTCCGAACCTCTTGCCGGGCCGCCTCTAGTCTCCCGCCGCCGAGTCGCCATGGGTTCACGTCACCAACTCGCTCTCAGGAATCGCGGGCCGTGTCACGCGGCGGGAACACGCAGCGCGCGTGCGCTTCGGAGAGACGACGCCCGTCTGGCACGCCCCTCAATTTTGCATGTCGCTATGTATTATGGGAAGTCACCATAATGGTAAATGTCTTTAGGGCTGTAAGCCTTATAAATACCGCCTGTGGGCCACTTGGGGGGTAGGGCGGAGGGAAGCTCATCGGTGGGGCCACGAGCTGAGTGCGTCACGTCACTCCACGCCATGTCCCTTGGGAAGGTCTGAGACTAGGGCCAGTAGGCGGCCCTAACAGGGCCCTCCCTGAGTTTCGGGGAGGTGAGTTCCCAGAGAACGGGGCTCCGCGCGAGGGCAGACTGGGCAGGAGATGCCGTGGATCCCGCCTCCTGGAGGGGCTCGGCGGATGCCTCCTTAGCCGGAGCTTGGAACAGACTCACGGCCAGCGAAGTGAGTTCAATGGCTGAGGTGAGGTACCCAGGTGGGGGGCCTCATAACCCAATTCAGACTACTCTCCCCTGCCCTTTTTTCACGGGTCATCTGGTACTTGGTAATATTACGTTTGGGGGTCACGGTCCTACACCCTGGACCCTCCGAACCAAGAACTGAGATGGGGAACTAGAACTCTGTTTTTAACTCTGATATTGGCACCAATACCACTTAGAAATATATTGTTAATCTAAAGTAGTCCGTTGAGAAGAAATGAGGGTTTCACTTTATCTATGTATACCCTCGTACATATACAGGAATTCTAAAGAAAATATTAGCAAATCAAATCCAACGGTATATTAAAATAATGCTACTCAAACAAGTAAATTTTACCCCAGGGATGGAGAGATGGTTCAGAATTAGAGTTCGTTATTTCAACAAATATTATTGGTCCTGGGAATACAATAGTTTAGCCAAAATAGTCATAGTTCGTGTCTTCATAGAGTTTATAGTCTAGTTGGGGACAGACATTAATCGAGTAATCACACAGCAAATGTAAAAATACAGCTGTAACAAGCTCTAAGGAGAGACAGTACTAGAGGAAGTACTAAGTGGGGGGGGGGCAAATTGGGAACTCATCACTGAGGAAACGACATGAGTTGAACTGTATGAGAATAATCAGTAAGAGGGGAGGCACTGGGTGGCTGGGGCAATGAGTCACAGAAGTGTGATGTGAGATTAAACTCAGAGGCAGCCAGTGCCCACAGCAAGCCAGCCTTTCTCCGACAAGGAAACAAACTGTTCTGTGTGTGTGTGCGCGCTACACGTGGATTAAAGACTAAACATTCAAAAGTAAAACTCGAAAACTCTGAAGTAGAAAGTAGACATAAATATCTTTTAGACCTTGAGGTAGAAAACAATTTCTTAAGACAGAGAAGTCATTGACTGTAAGAGAAAATATAGGCCAATATGATTATATTAACATTAAGAACTTTTGTTTATCAAAAGATGTAAAGTTTATATATTTATATTTTTGGTGGCTGGCCAGTATAAGGATCTGAACCCGAAAAAATGTAAAGTTTAGAAAGAAAAAAACCAAAATTCTCATTATTTGCATGTGATCTGATTATGAATATAACAAAAAAATCCAGGAGACACTACAGCATAAAATTTTTAACTTAATACGAATGCTTAGCAAGCCTGAAAGAAAATAACATAAAAATAAATTGCATCTTTATAAAAGAGCTTCAAATAACTAGAAGTAAAATTTTTAGAAAAGGTACTTTTTGCAGTAACATCAAAGCATATCAAGTAACTGGAAATAAATCTGACAACATGTAGGAGCTCAATAAATGTTTATTGGATTGGATTGGTTAACCTGTGTCAGTGGTAGGTCAAAGCCTGTTGCATCTGACTTGATTTTGGCACAAATGAATTAGACTGGGTCTAAAAGGCAATAATTTGGAGATAGAAAAAAATCTAATAAAAATCAAAAATTTATTAAAAATAGCTAATACTTAATAGGTTTCTTTGTGTACTAGACACTGAACTAAGTGCTTTACATGCATAACCTCATTTAATCTTCATAATGATAATAGCTATAACTTATTTAGTGGTTATTATGTTGTGAGCTTTACGTACATTATTTAATTCTCACAACAACCCTATGAGGCAGGTATTATTATTATCTCCATTTTATAACTGAAGAAATTGAGCTTTTGAAACATTTAAGTAACTTATTCAAGATCACACAGTATATTGCTAGGGCTGCCCTAACTACATACCACCAACTGGGTGGTTTAAACAAAAAATTAATTTTCTCATAATTCTGGAGGCTAAAAGTGTGAGATAAAGGTGTCAACAGGGTTGTTTCTTCTAAACCTCTCTCCTTGGCTGTCTTCCTCTCTTGTCTTCCCATGATCTTCCCTCTGTGTCTATGTCCTAATCTCCTTTTCTTAGGATATTAGTGACCACCCATATGATATTTTACCTAAATTACCTCTTTAAAGGCCCTATCTCCAAACATAGTCACATTCTGAAGTGCTGGATGTTAGGACTTTAATATATATATTTGAGGGAGACACAGGTCAGCCCATAATACATAGTTACTAAGGCAGGGTTGTATCTGGGTGACACCAACTTATGTTCTTATCTACTAGGCTGATGTATTCTTCAGTTTCATGATAGTAATTAACATCCCACACACATTTTTTAAAATGTCTTTTTTAGTTTCTTCTTTTCTTTGCTTTTTTTTTTTTTATGGTAGTCAGAGTGAGAATTACAGAGAATGTATTTTGAGCATATAACTTATAGTCAGATACAAAGTAAGTATAACTAAAATATCATTAAATCATTCCACCAGTAGCCAGAAGAAACTATTCAACAAATTTATTTTCATAAGTAAAACCAAAACCTCCATAGATAAGTGGACAAAAAGATATGAATAAATAGTTTGCGTTATAGTAAGTAAGTACAAGGAAAAAATATTCAGGCTCACAGAGTATGAAAAATGCAAATTAACATTCCACAGGACACCTGTGTCTTCAATAAATTATTATTATGAGAAAAAAATAATAAGGGACTGCTCTAGATTAAAAGAGCCTTTGAAGCACGACAACCAAATATTTGTTTTTTGGATGCTAGTTTGAACAAACCACCAACAGAATACCTTTTGGAAGCAAAAAGGATATGTAGGTATGGACTAAGAAGTTAATGATTTGGAAGAATTATTTATCAGGTGTTAAAAATATATTCCAGTTGTGGTTTTAAAATGCCCTGTTTGAAAAAACTTACGTTGTAGAATTTAGGGGTGAGACATCATGATATCTGGAACTACTTTAAAATGCTTTAGCCAAAATAATCAGATGAAGCAAATATGGCAAATCTAGACAATTGTTAAGTCTAGATAATGGGCATATAGATGTCCATTATATTCTTCTCTCTGCTTTTCTGTATGGTTAAAAGTGTTAAAATAGAAAGAAAAATATTAAGGAAAAAGGATAAATCAGTCAAATATTCTAAAGAGAAGAGCAAACTGCAAATTAATCCTTCATATTCTTGTAAGTAAACGTTTTAGTGGATATTACTGATTATAAAGTGGTATTCCTGAGGTTTATTTAGATTCTCTATTTTATCTGTAGTCTAGATCAACATATTATAATGACAGAAAAATGGATCAATCAAGCTAAACATAAAAGGTACATAATTTGGGGGAAAATCAAAGTAAAAACTATGTGAAAAGCAGAAATTAATGATGGTTGAGATTAAACAAATTAGGACTTTAAAACCAAAAGGGACTCTTTCTAATGACCCATTGTTTGAATCTGTATCACATTGAACTGAGCAACTAGGACTCATATCCTGGTAAAGAATCATTTAATTCATAACTAAGATCTTGCAACCTCAAATGGTCTGAAGCAATAAATAAATATGTATAATTTATTATCTTTACTTGGGTTCCAATAAATATAATTTATTTTCTTTACTTGAGAAATAGAATTTGGTAACATTTCTGAAATCCTAGGAAACATATCCTGAGGATACATAAAATGTAATGAGGAGTAATAATAGCAGAAGAAAGATGAAGAAGAAGAAGAGAAAGAGGAGGAAGAGGAGAAGGGGGAGAAAAAAGACATAAAAACAATTATAAAGAATAGTATTTGTAGAGTGTAAATGTGACTTCATAGCTCAGCTTTATACTCATATTTTTGTATGTTTTTTAAGCAGCTTAAGTCAGAGTGTCATGGTCTTTTATCTGCCTGTAATCCTGCCCCGACTGGGCCATTTGTCGAGCTAGGGCTGGGTCTGGAGCCCACAGACCCCTCAAGCCTGTTCACAGACTGGGTCACAAACCCTTCACACACCAGACTGGGTCACCAGACCCCTCACATGCCAGGCTGGGTCACCAGACCCCTCACATGCAGGTCTATGAGCTAGGTAACCAACAAATAGGTCCTTGGAAGCCATAGGTTGGAAAGCATGGCTGTGCGGAGTGGCATTTGCCTAAGGAACTAGTCAGCCAGCATGCTTCACAAACTCTGAAGAACACAAGAATAGCAACAAAACTAAAAAGATACGTTGACGTGCATACACACTAACTCCACACACACACACACACACACACACACACACACACACACACACACACACACACACACACAAATTTGCTTACAAAGGATGTGCTGTACCACACCCAACCAGACCTGAGGTGAGAGTCCTGACCAAACCATTCTATTTTCCCAACAATCCACCTCTTCAGTTCCCTCACTGGACAATCTACACATTCAGAACCTTCCACAGTGTTCCCTTAGCAAGGATAAATGACCCTTACATTCACACATTACACATTCCATCCCAGTCCCAAAAGTCTTTAGCTTGTTGCAGCACCAACTCAAAAGTCCAAAGTTTCCTCTGAGACCAAAAGCAAAAGTCCTTCCAGCAATGAACCTGTAGAGTCAAAAACAAGTTTATCTACTTCCAAGATACAGTGGGACAGACATTGGGTACACATTTCCATTCCAGAAGGGAGGAATAGAAAGGAAAAACAGTCCCCAAACAAATCCAAAACCCAAACGGGTCTTCTTAGGAA